ATTGAATTCCGATTACAGAGTACTCCAGTTGTTTGGGTTAAAACTTAAACTTTGGGCTCAAAAGGGAGTTGGCCCAAAATGAGGAGAGAAACCCGAAGCCTAGCCGGAGCCCAGAAGGCAGAAAAGGCCTTTCCCAACTAGGTGCAGATCATTTGCACCACTTGCTCACCTGCCTAGGGACCAAGTGGTATAGACCAGCCAGCTAATCAGCCCAAAAGTACTTTATAGTGGCAATACAAGTAAATAGCTGATGAGTCATCACCATTCAAGCTGCATCCGGGCAAGATTATTGCTACAGGAGGCCAAGCTGAAGTGTCTATAAAAGAAGAAAGAGAAATCAGAGATAAAGACACTTAATTAAACAAACCAATACAAGCACAAACTCTGCTCAAAGCCAGCTTTGCCTTCAAACGAAGCTGTAGTCAGCCCAAGCCTTCATCTCTTTCGGGATAAACCCTTACCAAAAGCCTTTGTAATAGCTAATCGGATCCAAGAGCTGAGAGAGTCTTATAATAGTCATCTTATTTCTAAGTCATCTTATTAGAAATAACTTGAATACAACTTGAAGTATACAACATATTGCTAGGCTAATGAATGAAAAGACAAAAACAAAGAGGGTCGGGCAAGGTTGATCGTCTTGCAACTTCCTATCTTTGTGGTTTATCAAGGGGTTTGAGAGCTTTTAGAAAGGGGGGGTAGGGAGATGAGTTTACAGAAAGAAATCGATACTACAGCAAGCTTAGGACAAGGTAGCAGAGCTATTATAAAGGCTTTTGGTAGGGGTTTATCCCGAAAAGGATGAAGGCTTGGGCTGACTACAGCTTCGTTTGAAGGAAAATCTAGCTTTGAGCAAAGTTTGTGCTTGTATTTGTTTGTTTAATTGAGTGTCTTTATCTCTGATTTCTCTTTCTTCTTTTATAGACACTTCAGTTTGGCCTCCTGTAGCAATAATCTTGCCCGGATGCAGCTTGAAGGGTGATGACTCATCAGCTATTTACTTGTACTGCCACTGTAAAGTACTTTTGGGTTGATTAGCTGGCTGGTCTATACCACTTGGTCCCTAGGCAGGTGAGCAAGTGGTGTAAATGATCTGCACCTAGTTGGGAAAGACCTTTTCTGCCTTCTGGGCTCCGGCTGGGCTTCGAGTTTCTCTCCTCCTTTTGGGCCAACTCCCTTTTGAGCCTAAAGTTTAAGTTTTAACCCAAACACCAGTGTTTACTAAATCTAGAGTCCCACAAAATTTTTGGAATTCAATTCCTTCTTTTGGAGGAATTGGACTCCTGAGATCTATAAGGTACTTCAATTCCGCCTGCTGTGGGGAATCTGGAATACAAATTTTCTACCACTTGTATCCTCACTTCGAATATCTGGGTTTGTGGCTTAATTGCTAATTGATTTTGTTGATGTGAGGGAATTAAATTCAAAATTGGGAGAGATTTCGCGTGGGTAAGGTGTAATGACTGCTAGGTTTTCAAGAATTTCTGATTTGGATTAAGGTCTCAATGGATTAGGGACCACAACGAGATACGAGGAAGCCAACTGTGGCGGTGCCACCGATTGGGTTTTATTTCCAGTTGACAACTTTGCTATGCATCTCCAACTGGCAGATGACAACTTTGTTTTTTAATTCTTGTTCTTTTTATTTTTCATTAATCATCGATTTTTCAATTAAAAAATAAAATTTTGAAATTCTCCTATCCGTTACAGTATAAATAATATTACTAATTTAGTCAATATTATCCGATGACTAATTATCATATCCGACTAAAATACTCAATATTATCCGAACTGCCAAACAAAGCCTTAATATAATTATATTTGCCCTCGCGACTGGTGGCTGGTGGCTTGTAGGAATGACTCTACCTATATACAACAAGATGATACTATATGTACACTTCTTTTATCTTTGCATTCCCTTTTTTAATTTTGGAAAATGCTAAGGAGATTTTTTTGAAATGGAACTCTCTTTATGGATTTGAAAATCTTAACGAAACATTCTTAGTACTGTTTACTTTTAAAGTTAAGGACATTTTTACCTTGAAAAGTCACTTCATGTACTATTCACCTACACCTTTATTTTATCATTTTGATTAAAACTAAAGTTGTTAAAGACTTTTCGTTAGTTTTTCTTATAGATTCTCTGTCACCTCACGCTAATGTTGATTCTCATGCCAACGTTTTAATCTAAAATTATATGACTTTTGAATTAAAAGATAGTCATTTTACTTTTTCTTTATAGAATCATATTCGTCCATTTTCTTCACTACAAATAAATGTCTCAATAGTTTAGGAGTTCTCTAATTTTTGATACAGACGGGTGATATCTTTGAAAAATTTACAAAAAAAGGAACTAGAAGAAAGTGTGTCAAAGGTGTGTCATCCGGTCTGACCATATATGTATATTTGTTGCTAAGGTACTATATAATCTTATTATTCATTTCTCAATTTTATTTTACTTTCTTTTTGGCCTTAGCATTGATCTATTATTTCGTCTAGAATAATGATTGCTACCCTGGTTAGCAAGAGTTACTACATAAAGAAACATTTGGAATACAAAAACTTCTGTTTTATATAATTAGGTAGAAAAAAATACTTTTATGTTACGTGACTAGATGAGTAGCAATGTAGCATACATTTTCTATTAAAATAAGAATACTCGGCTTATAAGCTTGGGTTCCTATAAATTGAGTTCAATATAAATGTTTAACTGTTGAGTATATATAATCATGTCTTATGAATTTGATTTCAATAAATTATTGGATTGCAATTAACGAACTCACGTCACTACAACAGCGTGCTAGAGAAATTAAACCAACCCATTTTAATTTTTATATAATTAAGCTCTTCATTTAAATGAATAAAATCTTTGATGTCTCACTCGTACATTACTAATATAACCCTCTAATTGAAATTGAACATAAATAAAAATAATAGGTAATTTAGTAATTTCATAAACACAAATTTTACTCTTTTTTTTTATGAACCTCACAGTCAGGTGATGATAACATGCCATGTTTGGAAATTCAATTTCTCGCCACATTCCTCTCTTCTCTTCCCTCTCATTCTATCTCTCTATTTTCTTCTTCCATTGTCAATGTCACAGATCCGGGTCGGGTTTGGGTGGGATGGGTCTCATAGGACGGGGAACAAGATCATGAGTGGTTCAAGGGGGGGGGGGTGGTGGATCTAATTATGGAGGTTCGGTCGTAGAGGGTGGGCTAGGGCTAGGTAGGTCGTGGAGGGGTGTGCGTGTGTGAGCGTTGGATGAGGCCACCGCTTAGATGGGTTTCACTGGCCACCATTTGACATAGGTGACGGGGGTGGAGTGGTGGTATTGTGGTTTCCTTTTTTTTTTTTTTTTTTTTTTTTTTTTTTTTTTTTTTTTTTGTAAGCTCATTAGGGATTTTATAAATTAAAGAATAAATAGATGCTCATAATCCAATGAATTGAGTGACAAAAATTAAAAATTGGCACATACATCAAGCTTAAAAAATATGAGTGTGACAGTAGATTTAATGGAAATAGGAAAGAAGGCTTTTCGCAGTGAGGCCACAAAGGATTTTCACACTCGCATTGCTTTAGGTTGTACATATTATCAGAAGAAGGGGACATGGGAGTTAGGTTGTACATATTATCAGATAGTTACTTCTTCCACCCATTTGACGTGGTATTGCACGGTATTGGTATTGGTATTAGTACTATCACTGACATTACAATCTTGCACTGACATTGATATTGAAATCTTATTGGCACAGATATTGGAATCTTTTCCTTGCACCAATAAACTTTCGTAGGGAAATTGGCATCGGAAGTTAGCATAACAAAGCTTGCATCCATATCTATCCATTAGTATTAAGTTTTCATTTTCTTGCCTATTAGGGTTAGATTAATTTTCTATATATATGACTTTGTAACTCCCCAGAAAAACAAGTCGCTCACAATGTAGTCTCTAAGTATAGCCATCTCGCCATTCGGCAATACAGTTTCTTTGTTTTTCTGTTAATGTACTAACATAATTGGTAATCTATTTGTTTGTATGTTTGTTATGTGTACTATGATATTCTACTAATGCATGTGCCCTTCATTGGATTTATTTGTCGCCTCACTTACAATTAATGAACCATTATCACATGAACATCATAACTGAAACCGTTCATTCTCTTTATCATCATTTAAAGATCATATGTAATAAAAAAAATCATTCAATTTTGGAGATCGTTTAGCCATCAATACATGTTAAACTAATGAACGGTTTATGTATATGAATGACTGAAAGATCTCCAAATAGATTTTTATTTTTATTTTTTATTTTTTTGTAGATCTGATCTTTAGATGAAGATAAAGAGATTGAACAGTTCCAATTATGTTGTTCGGGTTGTAAAGTTCATTAATCGTAAGTGAGGGAACAAGTAAGTCTTCTCGTGGGGGATACAAGCAATATCCTTTTTCTGAAAATTCCCCCTGAAATTTGACTTCAATCCGATTTTATCCCAGAAACAAAAATAACACCACTTTGCACTCTGAAAATTAAGGTTTGCTTTATCGAACTGTATTAAAACAAATTGACGGATTTAATAAATAAATTACAGAGTGTCTATTTATTTGTTACAGTTGATTGACTAAACAACCTTAATTTTAATTTAAAAAAAAACCTTTGCATATTGATCTATAATAATAAACGATTTCGATCATAAGAACAAAATTTTATGAATCAGCAACTAAGTGATTGAGAAAGAACACCTCAATTTTGAGGATCTAAACTCCTCTCTTTAATTTTTTGAAGTTCGGTGAAGGTAAGCATGTTTTGTATTTTTATATGTTTTTGTAGTTCTAGATCTTGTAAAGAGAGAAAATATGAGAATACAAGTGGACAAAAAAAATGACATCCAGCACACCAGAGGTGAGATTACACTTTCCCTTTCATTTCTTCTTCTCTTTTTCGATTAAAATAATGAGATTACAAAAGATGATTTATACACATTATTTTTAGCATGTCACTAATTTCTTACGGGAAATTATATATATAACCTTTTTTTATATTCAATTTAAACTTTAAAAATTAATTATCTTTTTTACCCTAGTACATAATTACCAACAGGTACAAGATGAATTTAACAATACAACTAAAATTTATTAATAAACCCAAACAAACACCAAAATGCAAACAAATCTACAACAACAACAATGGGAGATGCCATAGTGCTGAGATGCATCTAGGGGAGATGCCATAGTGTTGAGGTCAAACAAATCAAATGACATGCAGAAGAGGATTCTATGGCTCGTTCCTTTGTCTCCTCATGGACTTGTACTAGTATATTTCCTATGACATATCGGACGGAACAACCATGAATCGTTGAAGTTTAAAATGCCGAGGGCTTGGAAATCTTGGGGCAGTTGGAGCTTTGAAGAGAATAATTATCTCTTTGATCCAACTCACCATCACAAACATATATGATATATCCTCCTACCTTTATTTTCATCCATGCCTGCATGCGGTAAATCAAATTAAAAGATATGAAATTATTCATCCAACAAAATACATTCTAAAGATAAATATTCATCCCTAAAAATAGTCGGTTAAATCCTATACTTAATTGATAGATAGTCACAACCAGAGAGAGGACTTCAACTTAAACCAAAGTGGGGAGAAAAATAAGAATAAAGAAACAATAGCATTTAGAATTTAGATTCAGACCATTTGAAACAAACAAAAGATCCTTAAACTAGTGCAACAAGCTCTTTTGCAATATGATTGCAAGGACGATCATATTGTTTGGATTAAGAATTTGTACACTTTTTCGTAGTCCTAACTTGAAATGGACTTCTCTTTGCAAATTTTGGGTTTTTATGTCTAAATGAGTGTGCCGATAAATCTACAAATTGAATTGAGTTTGTGAGGGTAATTTAGGTAGTAAATATAGGTTTAAAGAGATATTGATAGTTTAATTAAAGTTAATATGGATGAAAAGTGTAAGTTGAGTGTAGAAATATGTTATATGGGTTCAAATAAAATTTTCATTTTCTTACTTGCAGTGGTATTTGTTCTAATTTCTCAAGTTTGCCTTTAGTAGCCAGTAGTCCTGAATTTTTATCCATTATTATTTTTTCTAATTTTATCATAATTTTTTATTTTTTTCTACTGCTAAATAGTTCTGACTATTTCTCATCTCGCATTTTTTGTGAGAAGGCAAGTTTAATTGCAATGAATTTATGACTTCTAAACCGGCACCAACTCAGTCAATCAAATTGCATGACTTTTAAACCGGCACTGTTGAACAACAAAGGAAAAGTGCATATATTGACAAATGAACAAAAGACAAAAGAAGTCCACAATACAACTTTGACAAAGACAAGGAAAGGAAAATTTTCCAATCTTTGAATAAACAGCTGAAAGAAGGTTCAAAGTCTTCTTTTCACTTGAAGATGGGAAAAAGATTTTCATTGTGTCAAAAATTTTCACCTGCTTTTCTGTCACGTGAAGACGAAAAAAAAAAGGGTTCAAAGCCTTTATATTAAACACTAGTCATCCCAAATTTACAGAAGAGGAAAAACCCGCTGTCAAAATTCCCAAATTAGTATGGAAATTCACTCACAATGACAACCTTTACATTAAACACCAAGAAGACTTGGTAGACAAATCCAAACTACAAAAAGATTGTTGGGAAAAGGCATCACTTTGTACAAGTGTTAATGAGAAAGAATGAAAAGTATCAAAGGCAACACACAAATAGGAACAAAAAAGAAATGAGTGCGTTACTACAAATTTAAGGGAGAGCAATTCTCACATTTGGAGCCATGAATCAACAATTGTCTTCAACAAGGTACTGCAAAATAGTTTGTTCAACATCCATGTCAAAAACCAAGTCAAAGTGGTACTGAAAGCTACTAATAATAAAAGAAAAGTAAAAAAAAATTTACTACAGAGACTACCAACATCAAGTCAGGCTTATCATCTACCATTAAAATAAGAAGAAGAAGGGTTTTTACAACCCAATCAAGTTCATTACCTGAAGGACACAACAACCAAGTTGCCCTGGATGCCTGCATGAAAGAATTGATAAATTCTAAAACATAAACAAAACCGGAACATAAAGAAAACAAAAATGGGTAACCTGCTTGATTTCTCCCCCTCTTCGTTTTGAGTCTCCAATCCACAAAGGAAGCACACAAAAAATAAGGCAGCAGAAGAAAAGGCTCTCGTGACCTGTATAAAAGAAAAAAACCTCTGCGATTTAGGAGGAAAAGAGGATAAATTAGAGCAATTCAAAAGAGTTTGAACTCCACCAATCTTACCCATTTTTCATTTGAATTTCAACGGTCTTATAAAAAAAAAAACCAAAAGGAATTTCAAAAGAAAAAAGAAACGTTGCGAAATCAACGCAACCCCAAGAATTGCAAAACTGCCTTTTGCTTCTGGTAGAAGAACACTGTGTGTTAGAGCCAAGGAAAAAGAGGATTCTTTTGAAACCATCTCGCAAGGGAGTCTGTGTTGTAGAAGAACACTGTGTATTGCGAAACCATCTCGCAAGGGGTGAATAAACTGAACCCCTCACGTGGGAGTCTGCTCACATAAACAAATAGTAAAGTAAAGCATTGTTGTCAGAAATATTAAAGTCCCAGTTTGCCTTCCAGTCTCAGCCACAAAAATGAGAAAATGGTACCTCACGTGAAGAAAAAGGGTAATTGTTGCAATTGGAAGCCAAGTTCTTTTTGGACTTGGAAGCCTTAAAATCACATGAAATGAAAAAAAAAAAAGTAAAAGTAAAGCTTGCTGTGAAGACTCTTGGAGGTCCCACTTTATGACAAAGTACTATTTCACTTTGATTCGAGCATCTCACGTGGAACTCTGCTTAAGGAAAAGATAAAATCCTATTTCACAAAAGTCTATTAGATATTACCAAAGGTCATAGATGAGTTTTAAATATATCCCTCATTTTGCCAAGTCTGAATACCCACTTCTCATTTTGCCAAATTTGAACACAAGAATGCAAATCCAAATCAAGCATTCACGGACCAACAATTTTGTATTCACGTGAGCTTTATATTTTTGGACTCCGTGAATAAAAATAGGGACCAACAACACAAGTCATGTCAAGTTTCAAATGGAATGAAGCGGTATCAAATGTCAAATGACACGAAGCCGAAGGAAAAAAAATCTCAAATGGCATAAAGCCGTATTAAATATCAAACGGCACGAAGCCGCAACAAGATTCAAATGACATGAAACCACATCAAGCTCCAAAGGCTTAAAGTCCTTGTCTGCATGAGCTGAAACTGCACAAGGCATCAAACTCTAACAATACACATAAAGAACTACGAATGACTTGATCCCTCAATGAGGGTACGTAGGCAATCTAGGGCTCTACCTAGACGCAGTCACAAAATCAAATAAACACCCAAATCCTCAAGTTACGATTTATTCATATTAGAATCAAAGGGTATTTCTTTCCCAAAAGAAGGGTTGTAATTAATAGGCGCGTAGTCTAGAATGGGTCGAACTCAAATTAATAAAACCCTCTTCGAAATAAATGAACGAGGATGAAATTGTATCGAGTGAATTATTTGTTTACCTATTGTGTACAATTTTTACTCAACATGCACCAACTCAATCAATCAAATTGTATGTGTTTTGGGGTGAAAAAAAAAAAAAAAACAGGAACCTACACTATATGACCAACAGATCACTTGTTCTGCAGATTTCTAGTAGAGAGTGTCCCAAAAAAGCGTGTCTGGCGCGTTCAACGTTGGAGAAAAATGTGGGAGATGGGTAGATAGATAACATATAAAATAATAAATAATGTAAAATATGTATCTGGTGTATAAATTATTTTCCAATTTCTTTTAACAAAAATCTTCCATGAATTTCACGTGAGATAATTTAAAATTTTACAAATTTGATGAAGGTGACCATTTTCGTACTGTGGATTTTTGGATTTAAAGTTCAAATTATCCAAGAAAGAAAGAGACATCTGGGAAAAATGAAAGACAACACATCAACGGTGAGATTACATCTGTCTTTTTTTTTTTTTTTTGCAATGAGATTATTATTATTTTTTGAATAGTTGCTGGAATGAGATTATAAATAGCGCCAAAGCTCGGGGGTAACGGATATGGTTTCTTTGATCCCTTTTTCTTACATGCTTTGGTGGTTGTTCAAGTTTGTTATCTCACATTTGGGTCGTCTAGTCACTGATTTCTTGATCTGCTCATCGTTTTAGGTATATTTACGTATACTTAGACTTCCTTTTGTTTCAAACTTTTTACCTTGTATTTTTTTTTTCACATATGATCAAAGCTCAAATGACATAATCTCATTCAACAAATAGGCAGATTGAACATGGCAGCATATAGTTTTGTTGCTACAGTTCTTAACCTTGAGAACTATGACGAATAAGTTCTCGGGTTAAGACTTGATGGCAGAAGATCTTTGGGATATTGTCGAAGGCACATATAAAGAACCGCCTCTTATAGACCCCTTTCCAACTGATGTATGTTCTATGATATTCATTTTGTTTGGAAATTAGATTGTATATAAATTCATACTTATTTCATATATTCTCATTTTCCTATTTTCTCTAGGGATCAAAACAGCAGAAGAAAAAGAAGCTGAAATTAAGGCTTGGAAGGCTGCTTCAGCTTTTGCTGGAGCTGCTATATGTAGAAGGTTCAACGGTCATGTTGCCCTTGCCTTTGCTCGCTTATTTATTTTTCGTTACAACTCTATTTCGCAAATAACCTTTGGCTACACATTCATGTGATCGAACTCTATCCGAAAATACTAATATTGACCACGAAAGATTTACGGAGTTTTAATGCGTAACTATGGAAAATTAGACTTTGTAACTAGTCAACTAAAATTCTAAAATGAACAAGAAAGAAAAAGAAAAAAGTGCTTTATCATTTAAACTTACTGAACATTCTACAAAGCCTCAAATACCTGCTATTCTCTACAATGCACAGGTTTCCATGATATGTTAACTCCGAACAGCCTCACCGCTCCATGATCTTAAACCGTCCTTAGAGGATCACCGACCCTACCATGCATCTCTCTGATCCCCGACATGTCGAGGTTTCTAAGTCTACAGTAAATGAACATCTTCTTATCCTCCCCTACCGATCTCTCAAACTTCACAACATCACCAACTTTCAGCTTCTTCTCCTTCACAAAAAAAATCCAACCTTTGCTCAACACGTAACTAGCTCTGACTACTACTCCAATAACAATATCCAAACCTCCACACTTTCCCCACCTCATCCTCAAATTTCAACAAGACCCCTTTGCCAAACCCTACACTCAGATGAACCTGAAAATGCCTTCTCGGCATGTTGTTTTGGTATAACCATGCGGTTCAATCTCCCTACGTCGCTTGGTGTTCCCACTTTCTCGAAGAGCAATTCCCTCCCGCGACTACACATGTCCCTTAAATCAAGGTAATGCTTCATACGCTTTCCACCATCATCAAGGCCTACGGCACCACCATTGTACAACTTATACTTGTAAATCTCGAGCTCGTTGGCATAAGAATGTTTTCGAAGCATGTCAACGATCTCAGCCTTGGAATGAGACACCAAGAAAAGAACCTCGGTGACATCACGTTCGTAGGGTTTCATTTTGTTTCGACTGTTGTTTGTGATGGCATCAAGACCCCGGGCGAGGCAATGTTGTAGGTTTTGGCAGCTTCTTCTTCATCGTTGAAGGTTCCCAACCCCACACGATGACTCTTCTCGTATATTTGAGCACTACTCCTTTGTACCTAGAAGAAGCCATGCAACTTGTTTGGAGTTGCACCATTTGCTCCATTCATTGTTGAGTAATCACTAGGATGGGAAGATACCACGGATATGAATAATCGCAGTTACCCGTCCATATAAAATTTACGGATACAATTATGGATAACCGTTTAAACAAATACACGGATATGGGTATAACCATTTACCCGTGAAATATAAATGAATGATTATGGGTATTACCCGTGGTTACAAATGGGTATCCATTTAACCGTTTGTTTTAATATTTGTAAATTTTAAAAAAATTAAAATTTCACGGGTAAACAAACGGTGATGGGAGTCTGGGAGAGCTTGAATAGTTTTTAGGCTTTTTAATTTTAATTTTTTAAAATTTTACAAATATTAAAACAAACGATTAAATGGATACCCATTTGTAATCTCGGGTAATACCCATAATCATCCATTTATATTTTACGGGTAAATGGTTATACCCGTATCTATGTATTTGTTTAAACAGTTACCCATAACTGTAATCGTAAATTTTATATATATGGACGGGTAACTGCGATTATTTATATCTGTGGGTATCTTCCCATCCTAGTGATTACTCAACAATGAATGGAGCAAATGGTGCAAGTCCAAACAAGTTGCATGCCTTTTTCTAGGTACAAAGAAGTAGTACTCTAGTAAAATGGAAGATGGGGAGCTCAAATATACGGGAAGAGTCATCGTGTGGGGTTGGGAACCTTCAACGATGAAGAAGAAGCTGCTAAAACCTACGATATTGCCTCGCTAAAGTTCCGGGGTCTTGATGCCATCATAAACAACAGTCGAAACAAAATGAAACCCTACGAACGTGATGTCACCGAGGCTCTTTTCTTGGAGTCCCATTCCAAGGCTGAGATCGTTGACATGCTTCGGAAACATTCTTATGCCAACGAGCTCGAGATTTACAAGTACAAGTTGTACAGTGGTGGTGCCGTAGGCCTTGATGATGGTGGAAAGCGTATGGAAGCATTACCTTGAGTTAAGGGACACGTGTAGTAGCGGGAGGGAGTTGCTCTTCGAGAAAGTGGCAACACCAAGCGACGTAGGGCGATTGAACCGCATGGTTATACCAAACAACATGCCGAGAAGCATTTTCAGGTTCATCTGAGTGTAGGGTTTGGCAAAGGGGTCTTGTTGAAATTTGAGGATGAGGTGGGGAAAGTGTGGAGGTTTGGATATTGCTATTGGAGTAGTAGTCAGAGCTAGTTATGTGTTGAGCAAAGGGTGGATTCGTTTTGTGAAGGAGAAGAAGCTGAAAGTTGGTGATGTTGTGAGGTTTGAGAGATCGGGGAGGATAAGAAGATGTTCATTTATTGTAGACCTAGAAACCTCGACATTTCGGGGATCAGAGAGATGCATGGTAGGGTCGGTGACCCTCTAAGAACGGTTCAAGATCATGGAGTGGTGAGGCTGTTCGGAGTTAACATATCACGGAAACTTGTGCATTGTAGAGAATAGCAGGCATTTGAGGCCTTGTAGAATGTTCATTAAGTTTAAATGATACAGCACTTTTTTTGCTTTTTCTTTCTTGTTCATTTTAGAATCTTAGTTGACTAGTTACAAAATTCGATTTTCTGTAGTTACGCATTAAAACTCAGTAAAGTTTTGGTGGTCAATATTAGTATTTTCGGATAGAGTTCGATCACATGAATGTGTAGTCAAAGGCTACTTGCAAAATAGAGTTGTAACGAAAGATAAATAAGCGAGCAAAGGTAGGAGCAACATGATCGTTGGACCTTCTACATATGCAGCTCCAGCAAAGCTGAAGCAGCCTTACCATTTCTGTAAAGGCCGACCGCGAAGCCAATCCGACGACCCGGTTTCCTGCCTCTCGACCCTCTTTTCTGCAGATTTTTCAGGTGCATTTTCTGGCAGAACCGATCTCGACCACCACCTCCTTCGACTCGTCTCAGTCTCTT